ATATATATATATATATATATATATATATATATACAGAAAGCGTCATATATAACGTTATATTTTACCACACAACCTCGTTTGCAGCCCACCCCCACCTCGTGACCAAACGAGTTCATGTCTCCCTTGGCCACACACTTTCACCTGCAACTGCTACCCACCGAATAAAGCCTCTTTCCTGCCTCTGCGTACCCCTCTCCCCCTCCATCCCTCCACAAGCTAAGAAAGAGAAGGTAAAAGAGAAGCAAGCAAAATACGTGGAGTATACCCCCAGCTGCAGACTTGTCCACTAGATTCCTACAAAAAAAAAACAACAGCAACAACAACAACAACAACAACAAAAACAAAAAAAAACAAAGGGCAACCCCCACAGTAGTGAATTACAGTTTTTATCCCTGCACCCAACAGTTCCTCCACCCCTTCGGACGGAATTTATCCCCTCAAACACATATACAGAGACTAATGTATTGAATCGTCAAAGAGTGGGCTCGCTGTCAACTTTCTTAGTTGACAGCCTTTGGGGTTCCCGCAACCAAACGAACCCATCCCCCCAAAGCAAAGGGGGAAGAAGTAACGGCAGTGCTATGAGAGTTGGACTGCAATGACACACACACACACAATCATGCGTAAAAAAAAAAAAAACAGCCTTGTTAAATTAAGACGCTCTACAACAATTCAACAAGCCTCAACCTGGTTAGGTAATATTTCCAGAAGTCTGAACAACCACAACAAAAAAAGAAAAAAAAAAACGCATGCCCTCAGCAGCGCAACTTGCCCTCACTTCATTACTTCTTCCTCTTCCTGGCCCTCCTCAGTGAGACAAAGACCCTCCACATGCACACGCTAGTAGACAGAAAAAACGAATACCCTACCCCACCCCAAAAATTATAAACCAAAAGAAGTGAGGAAAATAATAAACAAACACGCACAAGAAACCTTCACTATAATAACAAGTACACACACACACACACACACACATTTCCCCCTTGTATTTGGCTGTTTGATTCCCCAAAACCTCCAATTGGACCATCTCTTCCTTTCGTTTCTCTCCCTTCATTTGTTATTGCAACTCTTGCAAGTGTGTGAAGTTACCTCGCTTCACACTTTGTATGCATGCTTGTTCCGTTCATAGTGTTCCTCCAGTTCCTTTTGCGCCCGCTGCAGCTCTGGTGTGATCTCCTTGTAGACATCATCATGCATCGAGGTTACAGGCCAATTGGGCAATTTCTCCTGCCTGTGCAGCTCGTCAAGAGTTTCCTTCCACACCTGCTGCGTCAGACGCTGCGTCTGCTCGGGGCTCCACAACCCTTTTTTCACCAAATAGCGTTCAAACCGAGGAATTGGTGCAAAGTCTCGCGCAAACTCATCCATATCCTCCCGGGGGCGGTAACATGTACTGTCATCCGAAGAAGAGTGGTGGGAGGCACGATACAATATAGCCTCCACAAGAACAGGCTGGTTTGTCGTGCAAATTATTTCACGGGCTTGCTGCACCGCCCGATATACCGCCAAAATATCATGTCCATCTACGCGGGTGGTGGGAATGCCATATGCGAGGCCCCGGGCAAAAATACCATCGCCAGCATACTGTGAAGACGTCGGGGTGGAGATGGCGAAGCCATTGTTGCGGGCAAGAAAAAGAGTATGAGACCCCACTGTGGACGCAAAGTTCACTCCGGCGTGAAAATCTCCCTCACTGGAGGCACCGTCGCCAAAAAAGACTGCGGCAATGCGCTTCTTGTTAGGATCCTTCTCATGTTCGCCTTCAAGGCGAAATGCATATCCAGCACCAGCCGCATGTGGAATTTGTGTCGCTAGCGCAGAGCCAACCATGTGAACATTTAGCTTTTGTGATCCATAGTGAATAGGCATTTGCCGGCCTTTAAGGTCATTCTCGATGTTCCCCATGCACTGCGCCACAATCTCTTGAATTGTGTAGCCACGGTAGGTAAGAGCTGCTGCCTCTCTATACTGCAGGAATAAATTGTCAACGCCATGCAGGGCTGCAGTAGTCCCTACAATAGATGCCTCCTCTCCCATGCTTGTCAAGTAAAATGAAATACGCCCCTGGCGCTGCGCCTCCATGAGAATACTATCAAGAGTTTCCTGACGCAACATTGCCTCCATCATTTTGATCAACGTCTCCTTGGGCACCTCTGGTTCGTCATTTGGGTTGTCAACGCTTCCGTCAAAATTCAGCACTTGAAACATTGGCACAGACGGAAACTTTCTTTGGTGAAACGTGAGTTGCTGCGTAGTTGGGGACCCTTCAAAATCCAAACTCCACACCGCCTGCGCCTTTATATAGGCGGCTTGGAGGATGGGGCAAAGACCCCGGGGAGTCCCAAAAAACCCACCAGAGCGCATGAAGGCCTGCAGTGTCGCACGCATCATCTCCTTTGATTGCTCACTAGATCCTCTCACTCAGATCTGGGCACTACTGCGACCGGGAGACGGCAAAGCGCAACAAAGCAGAAGGGAAGAAAGAGCAGAGCGATGCATCCCACATATATTTTAAAAAACCTGACGAAAAATATATATATGCCAAATTAGCTCGCTCACCACAATGAGAGTAGCCGATGAGGGAAATGCAACGACCCCTCGCTATCTCCCTCACACACTCCTCCACTGCGTCTTCTCCCTTGCTGCGACTATCGCTGCTGCCATCGCAGCTCACATCAAGCAACAACAACAAAAAAACAAACAAAACCAAAGTACATCAGTAATTTCTATACATCAAATTACAAAACAATAATAAAAAAGCTTGAGACGCTTTTAGTATTTTCTGCCCATTCACTCCACGTGTTTCTGCGATTTCAATTTGGTCTTTGGGAGGCTCTTTCCTCCCTTATCAATTTTGCTCTTTGTGGGCGGGAAAAGGGAGGAAATGGCTTCTGTGCATGCACGCTGGTGCTACGCCTCCGTTAGGTCATCGTCGTAGTAGAGGTGCAACGCAGGAATGTAGAAATCCGCGTTCAGTCCTAGAGACTCAAACTCCTCGGACTCCTCAAGGACGCCATTTTCGTCAAGCGTCTTGTTCATGTCAAGGTCGCGCCCATCCGGGTCGTGGCGACGCCAGGTGTAGCTCAGGGCGTGTGCATTATATGCGAGGTAGCGGGTAGTAACAATCTCAAAAAGCGTCTCCTCTGCGCACACCTCCAGTGTGTGCTCAGCACTATTGAGGGTGTTGATGACACGTATCTTACGTGTCTTGCAGGTAAGGTTGCCAATGACGTACTGCTCGTCCTTCCACCATGGCACCTCGTAGCTAAGGTCAATGTTGCTATCCGGGAGAACCGTTGGTATGTGGGCAAAACGACCGAACGGCTGCGCATACGTGCGAAACCCCGTCTCGGGGTCAATGCACGTCTTCAGGTCCATTGTTTTCTTGTCAAACCAATGCGAGATGTCGGTGCCGGCAGCGCGAATAAGTGGCTGCACCAGGCTGGCAAAACGGGTGCCCTGGTACCGCTGAATAAGCGGAGTGATGTCTAGAACCTTGCCGTTGGCAGAGACAAACGCATCATCTTCAAAGCAGTGCGCGCGAACCTCCTTCGGGGTGTAGTGACGCGGCATTGATTTGCGAAAACACACACACACACACACACTGTCTATCCTATTTCTTTGTTTATTTCTCTTCGCCTTTCCTTCTATTTGTCTTGCTTGTGTGTTTCTTTGCTGAACGCAGCTCTCAGCGTGTATTGCGTGCCCCTTGTGGCGGCCGCGGCTGTCTTCCCACCCAAGCAGCGACGGAACCAACACCACCACCACCTCTTCCGCTACCGGCTGACTCCCACTCCCCTTTCCTTGCACCCCCTGCTAGAAAGTTCTAAGAGGGAATATGCACACACACACACACACACACACCGCGAGGAAGAGAGACAGTGCGCGAGAACCCCCTTCCGCTATTAACCCTCCTTGCTTCCCCACAATTGTGTATGTTGTGTGTGTGGCAAATATCCGTAAGAAAAAG